GTCCAACACCTGGGAACCCGCAGGCTGGCCAGCTCAGACGACAGTCCTGCGTCAGCCTGCAAAAACTCCGGTGATGGAGAACAGCAGCAGCAACGCCAGAACCCGGGGCCGTCCAGTTTACCTGATCTCCCGGAATCGGCACTGCCCCCTAAAAAGCGTTTGGCAGCAAGACTGGTTCAATTGGGGGCCGATGGCGATGGGCATAGTTTCCAGCAACCAGAGAACCAGCAGCATGACCGTGAGCCCGCTGCAGCTTCGTTGGCTCTATCACCAACTGAAGTGGCTCCCAGGCCTGCGCAGTTTGGCTTCCCACCATTCCCAGTTCGCAGCCCAGTGCCTTCCCCCCATAGCCAGCATCCTACTGGGAGTTTCGTTTTAGGTGCAAGCCATACAGCCTCCGTGGGGATGTACGAGCTGCAGCGGCAGCTGGTCTCGGCACAGCCGCTGCAGCCGAGGCACTGGGAAGACCAGCAGGGCCAGTCTGGACTGTATGAGCGCCTGCTGTGGCACCAGCAGTGGAGCGGCCTGCCTTGGAAACAGCAGCAGCATCAGCAGGCTTGGATTACGCAGCAGCAACAGCAGTTTTTGCTTCAACAGCACGCGCGGTTCACTGGGACACAGCTGTATCAGTCTTGGGCTTCACCGGTGGAGCGCCAGCACGTGATGCAACAGCAGGAGCAGCAGCTGTTGGAACAGCAGAGTAACAAGCGGGTGACGCTAGGTCAGAGTCAACAGCAGGAGCGCCAACAACAGGAGCAGGACGTGAGACCGCAGGATCAGCGCAAACAGCAGCATGCAAAAAGGAAGCGGAAGCGGGAACAACAAGAGGAGTCGGAGCGACTGGATGAACAGCTGCAACCCCCACAGCGTGCCGACGCGCGTGGAACGCCTTTTCGCGAAAAGGCATGGCTTCCACCGAACTTTCCAAGTCCTCAGACTCCTCAGCCCAGCATCTCTCAACAGCCGTTGCAGTCTTCTGTTGCTGCACCAGCAGCAGGCCCCTCGACATCCATGCGATTGAGCACGCAGGTGATTCCGGGGCCTACACAAACTGCTCTTGCTACAACTCCCACTGGTAATGATGCGGGATCTCCATGGGTTAAAGCTGCTGCAGCTCGTCCAGCAGGGGCTGCTGCTGCAGCCGCGTGCGGGGAGCGTAATGGTGACTCGTCCTCTGTTGCCTCCACGGGAGCCAAAACAGGCGAGGGCATGGAGGTGCCGACCCTCTCTAGTTTACTAGGTGGTGCCAGTTCTGAAGATGCAGGAACAGCTGCAGCCGCATCAGGAGTAGCTCATGCCACAAACGTGTGTATAGAGACTCCAGCAATCACGGAGGCGCTGGGGGCGAATGAGAGCGTTGCTGAAAATCTACTGGGCCACCCGTTTGTGCGCCTACCGCGACGAATGGTGGAGCAGTCACATCCTAATTTTCAAATTGACTTCAAGCGTGCCGTTACCATTGTGCCTCCCCCGCGTTATGCCATGCCATTGCTTCATAAGGCCCATGACCTGCTTTCGCTGCAGCGATTATTTCCTCATCAGATGAAGCAGTTGGTGACAGTAGCGGAAGAACTGGTGGCCCACGCGATGCGGTATCACCGCCAAGACCTGTCAGCACATATAAACTGCCGCGCAGTTGAGCGGCTGGGGGTCCGTTTCTTGCTGCTGGATTGTGTAGTTTCCGCATGCATAGTTCTTGGGCAGGAAGCAAAGGGTGAGCATTGGGAGGTTTTCACAAAGTCAATTAGCCACGCTGTGCCGCTATGGACCCCACGGGGAAAGCTCACACCGCGACAGGCTTCTAATTTATCTCTGGTTATGGACCTCAGCAGTGGAATTCAAATACTCAAGACGGGACGACGACCAACACCCGCAAGTCTCGTGAAGGTCAAGCGGATGCTCTTCTGCTCGACCTTTTCCCCTCTACGTATGGTGAGCGGGGATTTCGAACCCTGGCAGCGGGATGACATCAGTGGATCCGAAGGGCCGTAACTACTCGAAGCGGAAATGTGGATTCCCTTTACTCTCAGTATAGGAGGGAAAGTGAGCAGGAACACGAACTTGTATTTTTGGAGTGGAAAAAGCCGCATGTGCTGTGCTCGCTTGCCTTGATTATCGATCGGCTGATACTGCGGTTATAACTTGTGAACCTTTCGACAGGCTGACATATACAATTCTTAACAGCTTGGCGAAAGGATACTAAGGTACACGTAGGTTTCGAAGATCGCTCTTTTACTATTTTGATGTCTTCGGCTCGAATAGGGATAAGAGAAAACAGTGGAAACAACCAAGATGAAGAAAACGAAGCCAAATGTAATAATGAGAGGTAAAGGAAGCGCTTATGGCGTTTCAGGAGTTGAGAAAAAGGATTTGAGGTCGTGGCCTTGAGCAGACGCAGCAGGGCCACTCACAGGGTGTTCGTGCACGCGCCTCGGCTTTACCATGTGTTTTGATTAGCAGGCATTGGGGCTTGGACAAAGCGTTTGGGTAATGACAAAGATGCGAGTCCCAGTGGCAAAAGCCTCGCAGTGGAGTAGCAGCATTTAAGACGGCTTGTGAAGCGGTGAATGCTACGGCCTGCCCGAAACATTATCTATCTGACACCTGTACATGCAGTTGCTTTATAGGTTGGCCACCCCGACCCAAGATGTTTGGCAAGTATTTGCAGTGTTTTTCCATGTTTGCATGCCTCCACAGGGGCTTGCGTATGGTTGCACGTGGGAATGCCTTTTGGCAGGCGTTACACCATCTTGTGATGCAGCTCCGGAAAGGTCGCCTCCTCTTGGCTATTCCCCAACAGCCCCAGCTCCTTGTGCAGCGGTGGCCAGGAAGCCTAGAAAATGGTGGGGACGTTTTCGGGTTTTTGGGGGACTCATGCATTCAGGATTTTGAGTCGATTGGTGTTCAAGGTGGCCCTCAGCCGAAACCAAGTTCTCTAGCTACTGGTAACACCGCGCGGTTGACGGAGGGAGGAGCGAGCTGCGAATCCCACCCTCACTCCTTGGAAGAAACGTATGCAGTACAGATTAACCCTGAAGGCTCTCTGGAGAAAAAGGATGAAAAATCTTAGCTAGTATTGCCAACGCGTCTGTCGGAAGCTCAGAGCTTGCTCCTCCTCGGGTAATGATGATTGATCAGGATCCGCCCCACGACGGAGATGCTGACAACGACAGGGCTATTCGCTGGATTGGAACGAGGGCAGTACCGGCAGCATACCGCAGCACTTCCAGCCGAAATTTTGTAGGCTCGACAACAATTCATGAATAATGCCTCCACCATTTCCACAGCGATGAGGGTGCAGTGATGAAGTTCCTTCCTTTTGTAGAGGTGTACTTTCCTCTTCAGGCTGCACCTGAAAAGCTGTATGTGTTATCAGCATACTCTGTATTAGAAGGGGAGACACGACAATGCTTGCTATACGTATGCAAGGGTGCTAAATCTGCGGAACACATCCATAGTATTGAGACTTTCCGAGATGCACTGCGTTTCCTGAAAGACAAGTAACCAGCCCAGGGTAAAGGCTAGGAAAGTGTAGCAAGGCAGTCGCCGATAGAGCGCTGCGCCGACAGCCATTAGACCTTGGTGAACAGAAGCCCTGCGGCAAGGTGCCGACTTTTTCTTCTCTCTCTCGTATCACGGGTGTCACCTGGAAAGAGGCAGTCGGTAGCAGACTGTGGGTGGAGAGTGGGCTGAGGGTTGGAAAGTTTGGCTACGCAGATATTACGAAATGGCCAGGAAACGGAGACAAGAAAACACCTCTTCCACGGCCCTCGCTGATAAAGAAAGCAGGCTTGGAAATGGCCTAGTTATAGGGCCTACGGGTTTTTGATGTATGAATGCCAGCCCTGTTTAGGGGAAGATAATAGAGGGAACAAACGGCAGTCGACGCTTCCGGCACTCAGAAAGTGAGGGGTTCGTCTAGGGGTCCATACCGATCGCCGCCCTTGATTCTTTTGCACTAAACCAGGACACCCTTCATTTGATAGCGTAGATACATGCAAAGAGGAACAGAACTGGAGCTACAGGCTGTTGCGGCAGTTGTCGAGGCAACCGAGGAAATGCCCTGTCCATGCGCACAACAATTTTCGCAGTGACTGGCTGTAACAGGTGACACGCGTAACTGCTCCTTCTCGAGTCAACCAAGTAGTCATCCAAGTTCTTGCTAATGCTCGAGAATTCCTAGCACTACTTGATAAAGGCTGGGAAGTGGTTACGATATCTTTAGCAACGGCAAGGAGGTGCAACCTACCTGGCTATGTGTTGTCGCAATATCGGCGACAACGTTCGCCGTCGGCCAACCGGACAAGAGGACCGGTAAAGCCATGTATGTAGGCTGCCGGCTCAAAAGGAAGGGGCCGTGTTGGTATGAGTGCATATCTACTGCTGGCCAGTTGACTGCAAGGCAGTGCCAGGCTTGCCGCGGGTGACTCGGTGGAGCACGCCCATGCGGACCCTATTGAGGGCTGTCTGATGAGAGCCACCGAGAAAGTGCAGCGCTGCTAACCGCATGTGCATCATTTACGATAGGAGTGGAATAGGAAAGGGGAAGGTGGGTGCAGACGCAGCATGGTCTCTCCTAAGTTGGCAAATGCGCCTCTCCATGCGTGCTGGCGGTCGGCTAAGGTCCAGGTAAGTGTTCAAGAGTTATCGGCAGCTGTAAGCGAGTGCAGACGAGGGGGCTCGGCTGCGAATGGTGGGCTGCCTTGAATCTCCACTTGCAGCGAGGTGCGGTGAAACTGGTAAAAGGTTCCTTTTCCCCAGGCCCAGGCCGGGGGGCCGCTGTGCGCCGGAGGTCTTGGGAGTCGAGGGGGAGGTCAGCTGCTCTCGGGAAACTCTCATACTAAGGTTTTTTACTCTATTTCAGCTCAGGTTTGTCCTCCGTTAATATGGAGGACCATCGCTGCAAAAATGGTATGTTGTTGGGCTATTGCCACCCCTACTCTAGCGAGAGTCCGCGAGCTTACAAGAGGACCGTCGCGAGCGGTGGTCGAGTAGGAAGGCTCAGGTTATGCCTCCTTGCCGCTAGTGCTGCAAAGAAGCTTCACATTCACGCCCAAACAAGCCTCCCTTTCCTACCTGCCCTCGCACTGTAGGCAGCTGTTGTGCATTTGCATTCGTGCAGGCTACCTTCTAAGGCAAGGTCTGTGTTCATGCGCCAAAACCATAGAACCATGCTACACTGCCCCTGGTTCAGTGGTATACTGCAAGTAAAATTAATATTTTAACTATTTATGGAACAGAAACGGTGTTCTGGATCCAGTCTCTCACCGCTGGGCCTTGGGCAATCAAGCCCAACGCGGGGATTGCAGCCAGCTTTTTGTCTCATTGCATGAAGGGGACGGCACTGATGAAGGGCATCCCCATGACGTTGAAAATTCAATGTAGTAGTTGTTCCATTTGAAATAAATTTTATTTTTATCTTACTCCTTTGTTTTGCCAATGTTTTTGCCATGCCTGAGCCTTTTTTGCCCCCCACGAGTTTTTTTTTTTAAAATTCCATATCGTACACGGTCGCCTTGCACCGTTGGAATTAGTACCTTGCTTTGCTCTGGCCTAGACTAATCTGTGTTCGCAGCCACCTTTTTGAGAACAATAAAACACATCCGCGGCGCTTAATGTCCATTATTCGAACTTCCCTTCGGTGGTAGGCGTGGAAGACTGCAGTGTAGTGCCACAGCTGACGGACGCTGCTGCTGCAGACTTTTTTTTTGGCTCATGGCATGCAATTTAACAATTTTGGGCTGCATCCAGATGCCAGAGCGGCATTACATTCTTCAGGACAATGCAACTCCAAGCTCTGCATCAGCTTTTTCCTCTTCAGGGCTGCCATCGGTGGGACCGGGTTTTGCTCGATCGCGGAAGTTGAGGTCCAGAGCGGCTCCTTCCATTTCGCGTCTGCGTGTTGTTCTGGGAACCATAGCCTCTGTGGTAGCAGTTGTAGTGCTCGTTTTTTCATGTTCGCGCGTATACGAGAGGCGTGCACTCCAGGGCCTTCGAAGCCGCAGGCTGGCCAGCTCAGAAGACAGTGATGCATCGATTGACGTTTGCGGCAGCCCCAGTGACGGAGAGGAGCAGCAACAGCGCCAGGGTCCCCGAGCTCCCGACCGGCCAGCTGAAGAGGAGCTTAAATGGCCCCTTAAGAAGCGGTTTATGGCAAGAGTGACTGGAAATTGTGACGGTGGTGCTGAAGAGAATCCCAAGCCCCAAGAATTGCAAGATCATCTCCAGAAACCTTCTGTTGCTCATCCCGGTTTATCACCACTTGAAGCGGCTCCAGGCCTGGAACAGCCTGGCTTCTCACCACTTCCTTTTCGCTGGCCGCCGCCTTCAGCGCAACAGACGGGGTCGCCAGAGCTCAGTGAAGCCATAGGACGACTAAGTCCCCGCCTTCAGCCCCAGGCTGCTGGGGGCGTTGCTGTACGTGCAAGGAATACAACCCCGCTGGGTGAGCAGCTGCTGCAGAGCCATATTTGGCTGACGGAGCAACAGGCGGACAGCGAGCGGCGGCACCATGAACAGCTGCTTTTCCACTTCCAGGCTATGAGTTCCCAGGGTGTGTATAGGGAGCAGGCAGAGCAAATGAATTGGCAGTCTCAGCAACACCAGGATCGGGAAGGCCAGCAGCAGCTGCCAAGACAGCAGAGGCAGCAGGCCTCGACGGACAACCAGGCCGAAGAGCATCTCCCGCATGAACACGCTGAGGCTCACACTGGTTTCCCTACAACTCAGGCAGCGCCAGTACAGGAGAGTTACGGCCCCTGGGCATTTCCGTTTAGCAGTAATCTGCATTTTTGGCATATGCCAGGGCATGCGCCGCTCGATGCATCCACAGGATTCCCGAATCTCGGCAGTCACCACGATGCTTCTGGACTTTTTTCTTGGTTTACGCAAAGAACAATTTGCCTGCAATTGCAGCATATGCAGGAACAGGTCCGTGGTATGGAGCGGCAGCTGCGCCGGATGCAGCGGCAGCTGCAGAGAGAATCGCGGGTCGGGCGACGTCAGCCTGCCCGCAGGCGCCGGTACGCCCAGCCCTCGCGGCACCAGCAGCGGCAAAACCTGCATTGGCAGGACGCGAGGCGGCAGATGCAATCGCAGCAGCAGGATTTGCTCCAACAGAAAGAGCAGCAGCAGCATTTGCCTCAGCATGCCGAGCCGCCGCACTCCATGCTACAGCGGCAGCAGTCTTCACCTCAGAACCGTCAGGGACAACAGGTACTATCAGGCCAGCGTTGGGGCCAACCGGAGGAGCAGGAGCCGACGCCGCAGGACGACGGAAAACAGCAGCACAGGAAAAGGAAGCGCGGGCGGGAACAGCAAGAGGGGCTGGAGTCACCCAAGGAACAGCAGCATCAGTTGCTGCAACCTACCGGGCGTGTCCCGGAGTCTTTGCTGGAAGATGCATGGATTGCCCTGGGCCCGCCAAGGCCTGAAACGCCTCAACCCAGCAGCTCTCGACAAGCGTTGCAGGTACCTGTCGCTGCAGGAGATACACCACCTTCGACCTCCGTGGAATTTGGCACGCAAGTGGCTGGAGGGTTGCCACTAGCTCCTCCTGCCGCGTCGCTTACTATTCCTGATGGAGTTGCTTCAGGCGATTCGGCTGATTTGGCTCCAATATCAGGGGCTCCCGCAGCAAACACAGCAACTGGGTGTGTGTTTTCTGATGGTCGGTCGTCCCCTGGTCCATCCACAGCAGCCACAGAAGGCAGAGGAGTGGAGGCGGGGGTCCCTTCTACTGTGCTGGTTGGTGGGGGGTTTGGAGATGGAGGGGCGTCAGCAGCTGGTGAAACAGCATCAGCTGCTGAAGGCTCAGCACATGCGGGAGGAGCAGCAGCCCCTGGAGGAGCAGCAGCTACTACTGCAGCTGGGGCAGGTTCCGCTATACCTGCGCCTACATCGACTCCGGCGAGCTCTACTCTGCTAGGGGAGGGGAGTGGTCCTCGAGCTGCTCATTCGGGCGTCCACCCGCTTATGCGCCTGCCGACGCCGTTGCCCAGTGTGACTACGCCTGTTGTGCTCGACTTTGGACGAGCCATGCAAAGTCCGCCTTGCAAGCGGAACATCTTGGTTTTACTACAGAAGGCAAAAACGATACTGTCCATGGAATTTATCTCTCTTTCTCATTCGACGGTCTTGAAGGAAACAGTAGAAGAACTGATAGGGCACGCGATGCACCATCATGGTCAAAACTTGTCGGGTCACCAGACCTACCGCGCAGTTGTGCGGCTGGGGCTCCGTTACCTCACACTTGATACTATTGTTTCCACCCTAATGGTTTTCCAGCAGAAGGTAGACCAGGCCTTTTGGCAGCGCTTAATAGGTGCCGTAAACCATGTCGCTCCCCCCCATATTGAAAAATCAAACTTCTCACCTCGAGCTACTTTCTCCTTAAAACTGGCACAGGAGCTCAGCAAGGGAATACAAGCACTAAAGGGAGGAAAGAGGCTGCCAATTGGTTTGCAAATGAGGCTGACTCATATGCTCTTCTGCTCTGGTTTTTCCCCCGCGCGTTTTAAGGAACCCATGTTCGATCAGTGGAGGAAGTTTCACAAGCGTGGCGCCAATGGACCTTAGCTTCTCCCACTGGAGACGCGGATTTCCCGTGCACCTAGTGCAAGAGGAGGTAAAATAATAGAAAGGAGAAATCAGCATTTTTAGCGAGGAAGATCGTATGTGCTGGGCCCGGATGACTTCGCCTTCCATCACTTAATATTGTCGCGACGGCTCCTGAGCTTTCCGATCAGCTGGCGGATACAATTATCAGCAAATTCCTAAGAAAATGCTGCAGTGGAAACGGAATTCAAAGGCAGCCATTCGCCAGGTGCAGTGCCTCCGCTAGGCTGTGGACTTAGTGGGAATGGCAGAGGCAACTAAATAAACTTAACTCATCGGGAATAAGCAAATAAACAAAGTGTTTTCCTTTGTCGTTTTGCAATTAGCTGCTTGAACACCTGCTCTGATCGGGAGCGTCTCTTGCGTTTCGGGATTTGAAAGGAGTGATTCGAGGTCCTAGCGCAGGCCCCACAGCGCTACTCCCAGGGTGTTCGTGTACACACCTGGACTCCTCCACGCTTGGGTGTGCCTTGTCATTGCTGCTTCCGCGTAGCATGTTTGCAATGCCATTGATGAGAGTTCAAGTGGCAAACACTTCGCAGTAGAGGAGCAGGATATAAGACGTCCCCAGTGAGGCGATGCCTCCATGTTATTCCCTGCCTAAAGGACGGTTTGGCTGACGCGGATTGACTCATTTCTACCGACGTCAGTCCATATGCGCGCAGGTTGGCCAGCTTGATCGAGGGGAGTGTTTGACAAATTCTTACGATGTTATTATCCCAAGGTATGTTGATTCAATATGGTTGCATGTGGGATTTTCTTTTAGGATCACGGCGCGGTGCAACTCAGAGCAGCCCTCCTGTGCAACATCCCCAGGGTTTTTTTTGGTTTTTTTGCCATTGGGGCGAGGACGCTTGGAGACTGTAGGGGAGGTCTGCCGTTTAGGGGAGAAGTCTTATCTGTCGTATCTGGAATATGTTGTTCACGACGGTCCTCGGCTAAGATGGAGCTTTCTGGTTCCATACGCGGGCTTCGGTGAGTAGCGCCGCACCTTGCTGCAGGTCAACGCCATACACAGCTCCTGAACGCTTTTTTGGCCCTCAGTAGACAACCTACGCGCAAGTAAAAATGCATGTACAACTGCAGACGGACCAAGATTCAGAGCGTGCTACGGCTGGCCAGCCGTTTTCGCGGTTTTCTGCAGGGTGCCATAGGCTCGCGTCCATGCAAATCTAGCGCTATTGCTCCCAAAATTGTTCAAATACGCAGTTTTACGAGACCCACACTAGGACTCCACAGGCTTGCCAAGCCCTTGAACTGGGTACCCCCACACAAGGAACGAGCGGGTTGGTGGAAGACGGTGCGCGTGCGCTGATCGCTTGGCCAGTTGAGGGACAACTCAAAACTCAGGGTTTATTAGGGCCATTTCAGCAGTGCCTAGCAACACGACTATCTAGAATAATCCAAAATAACTAATGGTTTCAACTTTTTAATAAAGGCGAACGAATACGCAGCCAGTAATGCCCAAATCTCAACAGCCGCGCAAACAGCTGCCCTGGAAAACAAATTCCAGGGCGCATGGAAGCCAAAATGAATGAAGCGCCACAAAGCTCCGAATGCATAAGGTGAAACATGAAGTATGCGGAACGAAGGATACCAAAATTAAGTCCTCTTCGCATTTATGTTTTACGCACGCAGAGCTGCAGCCAAAGCTTACCTGTTGTGAACACGCGCGGCTGTTACTGCGTGGTACCTTATACAAACTTACTGACGCGCACACACTATATCTATCGCTACACTCAGCGGACTTCCCCTTGATTGAACCAAATAACGGGCAGAACCCCTTAAAACGCATTGGTGTTTCACAATCTTAAAAAGGCGCCTGGGCAGCAGTGCCAGCCTCACACCCTGCCCCAGACGCGGGGTCCTTGCCGAGCAGCTTTAGCCTCAAGGCTCCTTTTTTTGCTACCTTAAGACTTCATTTTTTAAATGTCTCTGCTCCATAGGCCGCTAGAGGACTGATTTCAGAACTATCGTAGAGGTGGTGCACCGCAACTTTCCCCCTCCACGGATCGTATCTGCCGCGCCCAGTCTCGAAACTTCTGTCGTCTATGTTCCGCTCGTTCATTCTTCCTCCGACTAGTACCTCGGGTTAGAAAGCTCCCTCCAACTCTTCGGAGGTAGGGCCCCGTACGCTGCTGCCCCCTGTATTGTAAGGCTCCCGTTGCTCGTTTATGCTGGCATCCGAGCAACTCTTTTTCCCGTCTTTCTGGTCTTCGCCGCGAAACCTTAGGTCCCTGGTGCTTGTCTCATGTTCCTTCCCAACGGTCCCGCTGCCTCTTTCCCCTTCAAGGGCTCTGTTCCGCTGTGCTCTGCTGTGCCCTGCTGGACTCTCCTGTGTTCTGCTGCTGGGAGCATGCCTTAGCTGTTGCATGCTCCCATGCTCCGAGACTTTCGCCTCGGCACCTTATTTTCACTCGCACAGCTTGTCAACCGTCTTCTTCTCTATGCAGGTCTTCGGCCCAGGCTTGTGTTAGTGTCGCTTGCTTCTGTCCCTTGTGTCTTATCCCGGCTTACTGTATGGGCTTGCGCATCTGTACTGAGATTCATGCTACGTCCCGGGTATCCGTGACACCCTCCTTGTTTTTCCTTCTCATGGCTTGGGACTCTTCCCACCTGGCAGCATGATGTCGGATGCGAGAGGGGAGCGCTGCTGCGCCTAAGCTGTTGTAGGCCATCTCATCTGGGGACTCCTATGCTTCTACTGCTATACCCTTATTGCTCGGTGCTATCTCATGAGCATAGACCACCACCGAGAATTTACGTAGGTACGCAATCTGTTCGACAACTAGTACCATGCCCCTTCATAAGCTCTTGACCAGTCGAGCCCCAGCAATAAATCGTACGACACTGGCTCCAACAAGTCAGTCATTCGGGACGTTGTGTGCCTCATTTCCGATCTATTTCTATTACTCCTCCTTTTACTAATAGCGCTGGCCTTTCTGCTACGGTTAACTTAAATTCTTCAATCAAAGTTCGTCTACGTATCAAAACGCTCCACGCACTGCGAACTGACAAATATGCGCGACGCCCTAAACCCAACAATGCTGAACAACACTGTCCTGAAATCCGTACGCTTTGCAGTTGCCGTCTTTCCTATTGGGCACCGCACTCCGTCCTCTGGGTATGAATCAGTCTCGAACGTCGTGACCCACTACGTCGGGATGGCCTCTCTAGGGGTGGACTCGTCTGACACGTACGTAATAGCCTTCTCCTTCTCCGTCCTCAATTGTACCTCCTCAAAGACTGACAGCGGCTCTCTCCTGCACGTTCGGATCATGGGAATCCGCAGCGACGAATTTGTGCAATTCGGAGACGGCGATCTATACGCTACATTCGGACCCCAAGCGCATGGAGCGTAATATATGCTGCACTGCTGAAGTGGCTGGCCTTTATTGAGTTGTCCTGAACTAGTGCAAACCGCCCCTGAAACCCACCACCAGTACTACAGTTCCGAATCGTTCAGCGGACTCTGTATGATTTCCCGTTTGCCGAGCTTTAGCTAACTATCCTAGCAAGTAATGCTTCCTCAACTTACTGTAGAGTCTCTGCGCTTCCGTTGCGTCATCGTTCCTGGTCCCTCTGGTCCACCTCCGTGAATCGTAGCGACATTACATCAAAGAAGGCTGTCAGGTTGTCTCCCCAGTCCCGAACGAACTGCGGCAACACGACTCGGGTTTGCCTCTCTCAAATACAGGACACTCCCGGAAAGTAGAGTTAAGTGACCCAATCACTCGACCGTTGCACACCCCTCATTATCATCCGGCATTGGCTTGCAGCTTGTAGTGTTCCCTATCTTCTTGGACCTATCTCTGGCCCGCTCCTAGGACCTCTCTGGGATGCGCAATAGTGCCTCTCTCTCTGACGGCACGGCTCCGATAACAAAAGAGCCCAGTAATATCCGCAGTCTCTGGCTCAAAATATCCAGGAGCAGCCCCCAAATGTAGTGAGCAGATGCCACCCAGGACTGTTAATACGTGGTACCCTGTACACACCTAGGTGCACACTTTATATCTCTCGCTACGCTCAGCGGACCTCCCCTTGCTTAAACCAAATAACGGGCAGAAGCCTTAAAGAGAATATTCGCGTCTGAAAATCTTAAGGAAAACCAAGAATAATAGGACTCCCCCCCTTACGTGGGTCGGCGCCTGGCCAGCAGTGCCAACCTCACAGCCAGCCCTTGACCTGAGGTCCTTGCAGAGAAGCCTTAGCCCCACGGGTTCTCTTTCTAATGCTTAGTTTATTTCTATGAAGACTTTATTTTTACCTTTGCTTCTCGATATGCCGCTACAGGACCGATTTGAGCACCATTGTAGTGCCGCCTACACGACCGGTCGAGTACCCCATCGGCCAGTGGGTTAATCACATATGCACCTCCAATGCATTCGTCACGGTGCTCTACAATTTCCTTATGAGTGGCTATAAAAATCACCCAACGAAGACAAACTTATTTGCTTTGAATGTGCGTACGCTCAGAGGACAGGATCTGGCTAATACTTGTCTGGAGATAGATGACGATAAACGCGCGGCGAACTCCTTTCATTTTTCCCTCCGCTCCATTGCTGACTACCACAAAAAATTCAAAGGAACTTACATTTGCTATTAACAATAGAGACGCACTACTTTGAGCAAACTCTAATTCATCTATTCGAGCATGGTCGCATGCCGCCGGAAGACTGGTTGGCTGGCCTTGGACAGGCGACAATTTCGCCGATTTCTTCCTCAACAAGAGGAATATTAAGGGCATCGTTATTCAAAAAGCAGAAACTGTCAATTCAAATCGGTCGACTGGCACTCGCTTGCAGCGGTTCGAACGAATTCCTGCGACTGTTGCCTGCCTATCCAGGGGTGCCTTAATGGCATGCAGGGAACGACGACGTATGTATGGTGTTTCCCATGATATTTCCACTGCCGTTGGGGCTTCATAGTAATACGCTCTACATTCTAATTCTATTTGCTGTACATTTCACTTATTTGTCCTGCTTATCTTATCGTACCGCATGACTCGCCTCTGCATGGGGAACCCCCCGTATCGATTTCACAAGCTTCCTCCTTTCTCTTGGCCCCGATGGAAGCATTTCGTGCACTGCTTTGCTCTGACCTAGACTAATTTTTATCGAGGGCATAGCAAAAGAAGTCTCTAGCAGTTTACATCCACCATTTGAACCACCTTGCCCAACCACCTGTGGATGGGCCGTGTGTCTGCACTGCATTCCGAGCCACGAAGGAGGTATATTGCTGTTCCAGGTTTCGTGGCCCATGGCATCCATCTAAGTCTGCGGCCAAATGCCTGAGAATAATAATATTTTTCTATACAACGCAACTCCAAGCTCTGCATCAGCCTTTGCCTCCTCAGAGTTGCCAACGTTGGAATCCAGCTGTGCTCGACCCGTGAAATTGAGGGCCAGAGCGCCGTGTCCCTCTTCGCGTCTGCGTCTTGTTTTGGGAACCATAGCCTCTTCGGCAGCAGTTGTACTGCTCGTTTTCTTCTGTTCGCGCGTATACGAGAGACGTGCAGTCCAGGGCCTTCGAAGCCGTAGGCTGGCCAGCGTAGGAAACAGTGAGGCGTCCGTTGGAAATTGCTGCGACGCCGGCGACGGAGAGGAGCGGCGGCGCCAGGGTCCCCGTGCTTCGAAGTGGCCCGCTGGAGAGGAGTTTAAATGGCCCCTTAAGAAGCGGTTCACGGCAAGAGTGGCTGGAACTGGAGACGGTGGCGCTGTAGGGAATCCTCAGCAGCAAGAACAGCGGTATCTCCAGGAACTTCCTGTTGCACCTCCCGGTTTATCCGCGGGTGAAGCTCCTCCAAAGCTTGAACGGCGTGGCTTCTCAGAACTTCCGGTTCATGGCATACTGTCCTCAGCGCAAGCACGGGTGCGGAGAGAATTCGATGCAGCCAGAGGACTGCAAAGGCTAAGCACTCAAAAGCATCCTCCTGGACATTATATTCCAGATGTGCGGCAGACAATCCCGCTGGAGGTGCGGATGCAGCTACAGCTGCACCTGCTTCAGCGGCAACTGCAGAGAGAGGGACGGCACCATCGGCAGCAGCAGCTCCACCTCCAGCAGCAGCATGACCAGCACGAGCTGTACCACCAGCAGCAGCAGCTTCATTGGAAACACCTGCTTTGGCGCGTGCAACAGCAGCAGCAGCCTTTGATTCAACAGCAACAGCAAGGGCACTTAATGCAACAACAGCAGCAGTCGTGGCATCAACAGCCGGAGCTGCCGCTTTCTTTGCTTCAGCAGCAGGAGCAGGAAGACGTGATACAAGATCAGGACCATCACCAAATGGAGGAGCAGGAGTCGACGCCGCAGGACGACGGAAAACAGCTGCACAGAAAAAGGAAGCGCGAGCGGGAACAGCAAGTGGAGCTGGATGCACCCAAGGAACAGCAGCACCAGGTGTTGCAACCTACCGGGCGTGCCCCGGAGTCTTTGCTGGAAGATGCATGGATTGCCCCGGGCCCGCCAAGGCCTGAAACGCCTCAACCCAGCAGCTCTCGACAAGCGTTGCAGGTACCTGTCGCTGCAGGAGATACACCACCTTCGACCTCCGTGGAATTTGGCACGCAAGTGGCTGGAGGGTTGCCACTAGCTCCTCCTGCCGCGTCGCTTACTATTCCTGATGAAGGTGCTTCAGGCGATGCGGCTGATTTGGCTCCAATATCAGGGGCTCCCGCAGCAAACACAGCAACCAGGTGCGTGCTTTCTGACGGTCGGTCGTCCCCTGGTCCATCCACAGCAGCCACAGAAGGCAGAGGAGTGGAGGCGGGGGTCCCTTCTACTGCGCTGGTTGGTGGGGGGTTTGGAGAAGGAGGGGCGTCAGCAGCTGGTGAAACAGCATCAGCTGCTGAAATCTCAGCATCTGGTGGGACATTAGCACCTGTGGAAAGAGCAACAGCTCCTGGAGGAGCAAAAGCCGCTGCTGCAGCTGGGGCAGGTTCCTTAATACCCGCACCTACATCGATTCCGGCGAGCTCTACTCTGCTAGGGATGCGGACTGCTGCTCTGGTTACTATGAGAGAACATCCGTTTGTGCGCCTGCCGAAGCAACTTTTGGTGAACTCTCCGGGTTCGATTGTGGTCAACTTTGAGGACGCCGTGAACAGTACGCGTGCCTCACGGCATGCCTTGCCCTTGCTGCTGAAGGCTCGTTGGTTGTTGTCCAAGCATGTTTTGTTTTCTGTCCACCTGAAAGAGTTGGTGGAAGTAGTAGAAGAACTGATAGGGAACGCGGCGCACTATCATGCCCAAGACGTGTCGCACCACCAGACTTACCGCGCAGTTGGGCGGCTGGGGATGCGTTTCCTCGTGCTGGATGTTATTGTTTCCACCCTCTTAATTCTCGGGCAGAAGGTGGACCCTGGCCGTTGGCAGCGCTTCACAAATGCCATTCGTCACGCCGCTCCCCAACCTCCCCAAACTGCCAACTTCTCAAAGCGGGCGCATTTCTACTTATCCCTAGCGAAGGAGCTCAGCAGGGCAATACAAATACTGAAGACAGGAAAGCGGCCGGCACCATCAGAGCTCCTGCTTATCAAGCGCATGCTCTTCTGCTCCTCCTTTTCACCCTCGCGTTTCAAGGGACGGGATTTCGATCCGTGGCGGCAGGATAACATCGGCGGTGCCGATGGGCCTTAGCTTCTCCCACCGGAAACGCGGATCTCCCGTGCACCTAGTGCAAGAGGAGGTAAAGTAATAGAAAGGAGAAATCTGCATTTTTAGCGAGAAAGATCATATGTGCTGGGACCGCTTGGTGTCGTTAATATTGCCGCGATGACTTCTGACCTTTCCGAACAGCTGGCGGATACAATTATCAGCAAATTCCTAAGAAAATGCTGCAGTGGAAACTAAGTTCAAAAGGCAGCTATTCGCCAGGTGCTGTGCCTCTGCTAGGCTGTGGACTTAGTGGGAACGGCAGAGGCAACTAAATAAACTTAACTCATCGGGAATAAGCAAATAAACAAAGTGTTTTCCTTTGTCGTTTTGCAATCAGCTGCTTGAATATCTGATCTGTTCGGGAGCGTCTCTGGCGTTCCGGGACTTGAAAGGAGTGATTCGAGGTCCTAGCGCAGGCCCCACAGCGCTACTCCCAGGGTGTTCGTGTACACATTTGGACTCCTCCACGCTTGTGTGCCTTGTCATTGCTGCTTCCGCGTAGCATGTTTGCAATGCCATTGATGAGAGTTCAAGTGGCAAACACTTCGCAGTAGAGGAGCAGGATAT